CCTAATGTTAGTCATTATGCGTTTTCTTCTTGATGGATGTATTTGATTTTTTTTTTTTAAACTTCTGTTTTTTTAGTCTACATGATGGGAAAAACCACAAACATTCAAGTATTTTACATGGGAAAGAAAAATCCCAATTAGTAGCTTAGCTTTTCAATAAAGATGCAACAAAACGGAAAAGTTTGACCAGTAGAAACACAGTTATTGTTGGCAATAGCGCCACCTACTGTTCCATGTGGAAAACAGACTCAGGCAAACATAAACGAGACGATATCGCCCTTAATTAGTTGGTCTTGGCAGCAACACAGCTGAACGCAGTAGCGCTGGAGGTACTTTCTGTTGGAAATGAAAACAAAGTCCAGAGTTATATTGGCAACAATAATTCAGTCAATGACTCTGTCCAAGAAAGAGGGACAAATAAATTCCGAATAATCGGGTTCACTTCTCTTTCCTATGAGATTTAAACCACTTTAAATTAAATTTGGCCGTTAGCTGTCGTCGTGCTCCTTCAACCTGATGATGGCAGTAAACCAGTGGTGTAAACAGGTGTTTACTGATTTTCTTAGGTAACTTTTTAAAAAGTACTGCTCTAGAAAAACCTTCCCATTTGTAATATGTTTCTTTAGGACACCTGTGACATAAAGAAGTGTGATCGTTTCACTGACGGACTACCTAACTAGAAATTGCCCCGGGAATAACACAAAGAAAGGCCGCATATATTAAAACCAATATCTGCATTCCTGTGGCATGTTATGTATCTTTAATAATGTTTAAAAACTTTACACCGGTATCTCCGGCTTTTCTTTTTAAGCCACTTATCCATTATCACATTTAAACGGAATCGTTTGGTAAGCTAGCTAGCTGTAGCGTCGCACTTTGATCTGACGTCACGGTAAATAAACGGTCGTTTACATGCAGTACATCGCAGGCCACTAGATGGCGCCCGAGGACCACCAGTATGAGAACACTGAAATGATCGCTAAATTGGGGGGAAAAGAAGTCAATCTCAAATTATAAACACGAGTAAAAACACAAGAGCTAGGGGTGGGCGATATGGACTATTGTGATAGCAATAAACGTGACAGTACTTCTTTTTTAGGTAACTTTCTTTAAAATACTGCTTTAGAAAAATATTCCCAGTTGTAATATTGTTTCTTTAGGACATCAACCACATAAAGAAGTGTGATTTGTTTCACTAAAATGCATTTAATTGCTTTTAATCATATATATTTTGAATTATTGGTATTTATTGATTCACCTTTATTAAAAAAAAAGGGGGGGGAGGGAGTAGAAATAACAATCGCAACAATACGAACAGCTGTGTATATTTTCAAGCATCATTAATTTGTATTTATTGTGAAAATGATAAATCAAAATCTTATCATGACCAGACGTTTATCACAACAAACGCCCACCTCAAACCAGAACTTTACAAACCAGAACTTTATAAGGAAATAATTTCCTCTTTCAACGTTATGCTAACAAAAAGCGTCATTCGTTTTTACATTTTGCATGGTTTTATTGGTCTGTCATTTTCCCATCATGCCTTCTGCTCGGGTTTCATCCAGATGTTCTCAGTGGAAGAATAAACTTGGAACCAACGAAGAAGAATCCTCACAAAAGCTATAGAAAACAAACCGGCTCATTTGAAACCGTGTCACTGTGCCTATAACATTTTTATTTGCAATCTGGAAAACAAAACTTGTCCAAGTTCCTCCCAGCTGGATTTAACACTTCACTGAATTATTTTATTTAGTAATAAAAAAATATTTCCACCAAGTCTTCAGGGAAATGCAACCACAAACAGTCCAGTTTTATTCTTTATTTATCATCTGCCGACAGGATTACAATGCAACTAGAACAAAAGTTTGTTTTGTTCTTTGATTTCCTGTAGTTCTGCATCAACTCTTGTACATCTATGATGGTGGTACAGATATTTAAAAAAAATACAAATATCCAGAAGGTTTTAATCCCAGTCATCTCATTAACCTCTCACTCCGAGGCGTTTATGGAGCTGCACTGGGAATATCTCGTCTGCAGATTTCTCTCCTCTCTTTTCCTTCTTTTCATTTGTTCTTCCTGAAGCCCCGTCGCAGACAGGTTGTCTGGGAAAACAGTGACTGAGTTTAGGAGGTTGGGTATTAAACCTTACCCACCCTGCAATGACGGAGTCAAACCAGCCTCATGGGAGTTCGGTCTTTGGAAGAGATTTTCTTGAGTAGCGCTTGAAAGCTTCCAGTTGTTCTGCAGTTGGAAAGCTGCAGCTGTCCGGTCTGTGCAGCAGACGTGATTTTATCCGAACAGTATGTTCATGTTGATGATGTTGCATCACGGCGACCTTCGGTTTCGCTCGTGGTGTTGAGGCTTCGCTGTTTTATCCAGACATCTGGACAGGATGCAAGCTGGATCTTTATCCGAGTTTTCTTCTTTCAACTCTGGCATGCTGATGATGGATTTATTTATCCCAAGATGCAAGTTTTTTACTATCATGTTGAAGTTTTTTTCTCTTATGCTCCCCACTTTTCTGTTGTCACGTCCTATGATGCCAGGGCAATATTCGAGAAAACGAATACATTTCCGCCCAAAAACTCAGGAATTTTATATGAAAAATAAGTAAATTTCTGAACTCCAAAAATCAAAAGTTTGCTAGAAAAATCTCTGAAATTTTTAGATTAATCTCACAAATAAACAAGTAAACTAAACAAGTACATTTATGAACTCCAAAAATCAAAAACTTGCTAGAAAAATTTCCCAAATTTTGAGAATAATCTCAGAATAAAAAAATAAAATAAAACACAAAAAACAAAGAAATTTTTATACTCCAAAGGTCAAACAATTTCTAGACAAAGGTTGGAAATTTTGAGATTAATCAAAAAAATTTACTAGAAAAAAAAAATTCTGAGCTGGAAAAGTCAGAAACTTGCACTAGAAAAATCTTAAAATTTCAGAATAGTCATGTAAAATTTCTAGAAAAACAATAACATTTCAGAACTCTAAAAGTAAAAGAAATATTGCTTGAGAATACTCAGAAATTTTGAGAATAATCTTAGAAATTTTCTAGGGAAGTCAAGCAAATTCCCGAGATTGAAAAGTTGAAAACTTGCTAGAAAAAAATAGGCAAATTTCTGGTCTCCAAAAGTCAAAAACTTGGTGGAAAAATCTCATAAATTTTGAGCACAGTCATAGAAAATTTCTAGAAAAAAACAGCACATTTTGTTTGAAAGTCGAAAACAAACTGTACTTGTCCAGAACTTGCTATAAAAAACTCCGAAATTTTTTTATTGGTCTTAGAAATTTACTAGACAAATACAAGTAAATTCCTGAGATTGAAAAGTTAAAAATGTTTTAATTTTGAGACATAAAAAAAATGACTAAAACAAAAGAAGTAAATTTCAGTTTGAATAGGTGAATATTTGCTTGAAAAAAATCGGAAATGTTGATATTAATCTCAGAGATTTGCTAAAAAAATAAATAAATAAATTTCTGAGTTTGAAAAGTTGACAATTTGTTTGAAAAAACTCAGAAATGTTTAGATTAATAAAAATAAATGCTGTTGATTATGTGTGAATTTCCACAATCGCAGAATTGCTAAAAAAAAAACTGGAGGACTGATTGTAATTTGGCAAACAGTAAAACCTGCTTTGATTTGATCAATAAATTAATATATTAACCACATAACTGTTATCCTGAAGGTGCTACTTACTGGAGTGGAGAGAGCGGCGCTGGCTGGTGGTTAGCTTTAGATTTGATTTGAAGGTTTTATCATTTGTTTTTAGATCTCAGAGGTCTGTTGAGTAAATGCTCTTATCTGTCTCAAGGTCCAGATTAAAGCGCAGATGAGATCAGGAACGAATTGCACCTTTACATCTGGACTTTCACAACAGGAAACACTTTTAAAACACGTTTCTGTTCCTTGCCTGGATCTTGATCTCATCCAGATGAGAAACAGGCTGGACATATTAGAAACCTCTCAAACTTGTCAGAGTCGAAAGCGAAGAGTGTGTCAAATTTTTTCCCGGACCGAAGCCAGAGACCGCAAGGAGGCTAGAAGAAGCGAATCCCTGGAGTTATTTCAGCCAGAGGTGTTTTAGGAAATTGATTGATTTATAAAAACACCATAAATACAAAAATAAAGCTGACATATGTGCTGTCTTTGATTAACTAATATGAGAAAAGTAAGAAGAGAACAAAAAGAAAAACTCAGCCAACTTTTCATACTGTTCAAGGTTGGGGTGTAAAAATTTGTTTTTCAGTTAAATTCAAATAGGGTAAAACAAATAAATGTTGGTGTTTTGCATGCAAATAAATCAATATATGTTCCAGAGATAGCTAATGATGAAAATAATAACAACAATATTTAATATTTTAATCCTAATTTCTTTATGTTTCCTTGAAAGTCTGGTTCGTTTGAGGAGGTGGAATGTGTAATCGGATCACAAACTCTCCAACGTCTCAGTTTGGTTAGAAACCGATCCTTAAGCAGGAAGCAGACTAAAGCACAAGGCATTCTGGGTAAATACAACCAAAACAAAAGTGTAAGTCTAACACTAGCGCTGGAAATGGCTCGTTGTCTTTTATTAAAATAACCACTAAAATCTGACGTTACTCTATTTTTGTGTACATTTTGTAAAGAAAGAAGCTATGCTCAATGTCTTCTTCAGGGGTTTTTATGTTGTGTCCTTCAGGAGTTATTGGTGCAGCGCCCCCACAGGCGAGGAGGGGAACAGCTTTTTTAATTAGTTTGGTTTGTTTGACACAGTGTGAAAGAGAACCGCACCAACTGAAAATGAACCAAGTCTATTAGACTTGGTTCCTTTCTACCAGAACAACATTTTTTAATAGTCTATGTATGTATTTGTTTAGTATTAAAGTTTAAAAAGTAAAAGTTTGGAATACATAAAGCATTTTTCATCTGTCAGTAACATAACTCGCCTCCTTGTTGGATCAAAATAACTATCTTCCATCTGGACTAACTGAGCCCATCATGGCTTTGTTTCCAGAACCACGACCACGGCTGCATCGTCTGTCGGATCATCTACCGCTCGGACGAGTTCCACCCGCCCATCCTGCCGCCGCGGGCCGACCTCACCGTGGGCCTCTACGGCCAGTGGGTCAGCCAGCGCTGCGAAGTGCGGCCCGAGGTCCTCTTCCTCACTCGCCACTTCGTCTTCCACGACAGCAACCACACCTGGGAGGGCCACTACTACCACTACTCCGACCCCACCTGCAAACACCCCACCTTCACCATCTACGCCCAGGGCCGCTACAGCCGAGGCCAGGCCTCCACCCGCGTCATGGGAGGCACCGACTTTGTCTTCAAAGGTTTTCAAACTTTTCTTCTTACTTTAGTTTGTAATTAAGAGAAGGAAAGCGTTCGACTGGTTGGTGTCGTATTTCCCAACCAAAATCTTACACAAGACACAGCTGGAGTAAAGATGCTCCTATGTGATGCATCTTTACGTTTAGAAGATCCAAATTGTTGGGATTCGTAGAGAGTATGATGTCTGGAAATTAGTTTTTGAGTTTGGGAAGTCAACATAAACCACTATAGATAAATATTAGCTGTAGATGAAGCTACAGCTAAAAAAATACTTCCAACATCAACATGAAAACCATTTCTGCTAACATCAGCACAGTGTAGGGTTAATATGTTTATTGTTTTTGTATTAACTGATTAATAATTGGATAGGAAATAATTGCTTCAAAACTTCAATTTTATTTCTAATGACGTGCAAATGTTTAAGTGGTTAAAAAATTTACAGAATGTGCCAATTTTTTCATCCAATTAATTGTCAGAAAAAATCACATAATTAAAATTACTGCCCTAAGAATGTGGTTTATTCACCAAATGGCCGTTGTCTCTCTACTCCTGTTAACGATTATCCAATTACTAAATTAGCTAACAGTTGTTTCAATTACTGATTAATCACGATTAATTGTTCCAGAGCCAATTATTTATATTGTTAAAAAGTTAGTTGTGTTATTTTTGTTTTTGTCTGACTAGTTTGTTCTTACAGAAAAAGGCTGCTTTGGAGTTTGTAAAAACTGGCAGCTTTATTATTAGATTATTTCAGCAAATGATTAATCATAATTAATCTGATTAATCGTCTCAGGTCTATTTATATATATTGCAGAAAAGTTAATTCAAAATGAGTTTTGTCTTAATCTAGTTTACTAAACTATTTGCACTAGAAACTAGATTAGATTTAGTTTTTTCAGTATTGTTACGTGGTACAACATTCAGGCAACAATAATCACAGACAAATAAAGGTTGCATTTTTCCAAATACTTCAGTTTTAGCCTTGATAAACTCTGCAGAGAGCTGATTCCTCCTGTGTCTCCGTCCTCTAGTGAACCACATGAGAGTGACGCCCATGGATCTGGCCACCACCTCCCTCCTCAATGTCTTCAACGGCGACGAGTGCGGCGTTCAGGGCTCGTGGCAGGTCGGGGTGGAGCAGGACGTCACCGTCACCAACGGCTGCGTGGCGCTCGGCATCCGGCTCCCCCATACGGAGTACGAGCTCTTCCGCATGGAGCAGGACGCCCACGGCCGCTACCTGCTCTACAACGGCCAGCGCCCCAGCGACGGCACCAGCCCGGACCGCCCCGAGAAGAGAGCCAGCTCCTACCAGATGCCCCTGGTCCAGTGCTCGTCCAGCAGCCAGCGGTCCGACCGCAGCCGGGGAGACGATGACACCGAGCAGACTCAGCACCGCCACAATGGCGGCTCGGGGCGACACGCCGGCCGCAGCGGATGCGTCGCCGTGCTGCTGGTCACTGCTCTGCTGCAACTTTGTTAGTCGGCAGTAAAGGCTTTTTCTTTCTATACAAACAGTGGGACTTAACAGCAAAAACTCATGTACTTTGCAGGGACGTGTTATGCAAAATTCACATTTTTGCAGGTTTTTGTACTTCCATTTGGGTCTAAACTGCTTCTAAAAACAACCCAAAGCAGCTAAAAAGAACTCAACCAGATGTTTTTTGACAATAAGTTTATGCTTTTGGTGTCTGGAAAATGAGCCGTTTCAAAAACCTCCGGAATGTAACGTCACAAATCACAGACACGTTACCCAGCAACCCCAGTGGAGTTCCGTTTGTTACCTAGCAACCCCAGTGGAGTTCCGCCTGTTACCTAGCAACCCCAGTGCAATTCCAGCCCATCTGATCAGCTGGTTTTACCACTGGGCAATGGCTGCTGCACAAGACAAGTGTTTTGTTGTTGACTTACCGTCCAGAAACTGCTTGCTGCATTCTTTTTGGTTGTGCAGGAGGCTCTACTAATGCTTTTCAAAGATCTAATGTAGTATAACTGCGCATAAGTTTGTAGCCACTTTGACTTGTGACTGTAAACGTTGAGTTGGGGCCGTGGCCAGCAGCAGCTTATTTGGATTTAAAGTGGCAAGAGGCCCAAAAGCAGCTCATAATAGAATGATTTTGGGCAGAAAAATGTAATTAACATGTTTTGAATAGGCCACAGACTTTTCTTAACCTGTTCAAGGAAGCATAATAAATGTTTTGTTTGGATCAAGAGGGTGAGAACTGAACTCCTCTCCAGCTACCAAAGACTTGACACTGCTGCTCTGCAGGAACTGCACTTTAGAGTGAATCCACTGTGGATTCACAACTAGATAAAAAGTCTCTTTATTCCTACAGAACTGAGATTATGTTTGTTTTCTGCATCGTTTTTAATCCAGCACCCGTCACATTGTGGGTTTCTACAGCAAAAAGCAGAGGCTGATGAGTGGAAACATTTTCATGTGTTCAGGAGAAAAACCTCAATAGATTCTGTTGACTGTAAAAAAATAAGTGAGTCGCAGCATTTTCACAGGTTAATGTTAGAAATTTTAGCAATTTTATTCAAAAAGTAAAACTTATTTTTGAACCATTTCTCAGAAAGGTGGGGTTAGAGTTACATATAACCAGGCTTTTTCAAAATATATATTTCAATTTAAACTTTTACTTAACCAGTAAAGGAGCTGGAAAACTAACCAGTGGTGGTCACACTTCCACTAAACTGCTAACACCAGAGATAATTTTTGCTAACTCTTTAAACTTCCACAAAATTTATTTTTCCAGCTAAATTTTCTGATTTACATGGTTGTTTTATAAACTTTAAGTTGAATAAAGTTTGGAATTTATGTTGAATTTTAGTTTTTTTTTTTTTACTGTTAGGAATTTTTCAAGTAGTTTAACATTTACTCTTATTTTGAAAGGGGTGAAAACTACTTATACAACAGTTCCGTTTCCTCTCCTTTTTTTTTTTCTCAGCAACTGTAGTTTAAACAAGAAAAACATAATGCAACAAAATGTAAACAAAATACATCAGATAAATTTATAAAGTTTAAATTAAATTGGTACTGAAGGATTGTAGTCTTTCAAGGGCAGATATTATTTTAATTGAAGTTAGCGCTTTAGCGTTAGCTTGAGCTAAATACATTAGCAAAGCTACCACCACTAGATTTAACGCTCAAGATGTTCTAACAACAACCAGGATGATACCAGGAGGCTCTCTCTGTTTCAGCTAAGAGGTTTGGTTCAGATTCAACAAGCTGCTTTTTCTACCAGTGTTTCCTTCCACTAAACTTTCAATTCAAACCAGCAAGCCTCTGTGCCAAATCAGTAACAACTCAAATACGTCTATTTTTTTACTCAAATATCAAAGAATAAACTAATGTATTTAACTTGATTAAAGACAACTTTATATCAAGTTTTAAATTGGCAAGATTATTTTTTGTTCGTTTTTTTTAAATATGGCTTTTGTTGAAAAGCTTTTTTTTTTAAGTCCTTTAGTTATTAAATAAAACAGTCAGCGCTCTTTCACATTGCTTATAGTCACTACGTTTTGTGTTTTTATCAGCAGGAAACTATATAGAAATATTTCACATTGTGCAATAAACCTACCAACCTTGAAATTAACTTTTTGAGAACAATTGCTGAAATAAATGAATTTTTTAACACAACGAAGTCATCTGGTTTCACCTGAAAGACGTTTCATTCGCATACTGCTTGAAACCGGAGATTTTATAAACTCATAAAACGCTGCAAACTTGACATTCTCATCTATTAAAGAGTTTACTTACACAGTAATCAGTCCTGAGTCGTCCAAGTCATTGCTTCCTCCCGAACATGTATGTCGCTGTTTAACATCTTTGGTCTCAACAGCCTGATCACGAGATCCGCCATGTTTGAGCTAATGAAAATACAGACGTCTAATTGAACATTTAACGTTTCCTTCCAAGATTATTACATTTAAACAATCATAATATGAAGATAATATCATTAATTCTTTCATAAAACGGAACCAGAGATTAATGTTTTCTGTTATTTGAGCACAAAGTTTTTCAATTAGTTTATTCAAAGGACAGGAAATGACGTCAAGATTGTTCCAGGATATGATGTTCTGCCAAGTGAAATGTCTGAACTTCTTGTCGGTAAGCAGGAATATTACCGACAAGTATTAATGTATTAATCAGTATTAATGATTTTGTTATCATTTAGAAACTATAAAAGCTAGTTTTGGTCACAAGATTAGACATTTTTAACATCGTTTTATGTGGTTGTTTACTAGAAAGGGAAAAAAATCACCAAAAAAACTCAAAAGTTTCAAAACTTGGAAATTTCTAAGTTCAAAAAGTCGAAAATTTGAAAAAATAAATAAATAAAGTCTGAAATTTTGGGATTAATTTCGGAAATTTTATAGAGAAAACAGTTTCAAATGTTACAAGTTTGCTTGAAAAGCCTGTAAGTTTTTCCACAATATTTCCAAGTTTCAGAAGACGAACATTTTAAACTTTTGGATCTCTGAAATGTCCAAGATTTCTTTTTCTCAGATTTTTTTAGATTAAAATCAAACTTTTTTTTTTTTTTATTGACTTTCAAAACTCAGAAATATCACGCTTCACGCTTTGATCTATGTATTTACTAAATTTCTGAAATCTCAAAATTTCAATTTGCAAATTTTCAACTATTGAAATAGAAATTTTATTTTTAAAACATCTGGAAATTTTCTAGCAAATTTTAAACTTTTGAAGCTCAGAAATGTCCGTGACCAAGTTATGACAATAAACGAAAACCTTTTAAAAAGCTCTATTAACCATCTTCATTCATTGAACAAACCTTTCATAATAAAATCCCTTAAGCTTTCAAGTTTAGTTACTAAAATAAACAAAATAAACTTCAGAAAGTGTTGATAAGCAGTTCTATTTGACTGTGATTTATGAGCGTGGAAACACTGTCAGCATTTTCTACGCCGTTCATTTTGGACCAAACAGAGTTTCATATTCAGTTCTACTGCCAAGAGGAAAAAGTCAACATTTCATTTCCCACGATCCCATCTCCGTGGAATCACCTCAACTTCACGCTTTGATAAAACGATTCAACGTTTGCGTTTGTGTGGGAAACGGGAACGTCGTAAAGAGAGCTAATTTCAGCTCGTTATCTGGCTGAATTTACCATAACAGACTCCGTCACGCAGAACGTCATAATGAGCTGGAAACACGGAACTGCCTCGGTTAATCTCCAACAGATCTGATAGGAAATATCAGCAGAACCCGAGCTTTGGTTCTGGATTGTTGGGTCACTTTAGTTTTAACATTTTCCCACAGCAGATTAAACCAAACCTTTCGGTTTGTGCTTGAAGTAAATAATGTTTGAACTTCACTTTTCGATCGGCTTTTGTAAAGATTAAAAAATATATATGTAGCAATAATTTGGCTTATTTAGCCTTTCATAAAGAAAAACATTGGGTGTTCATTTTCAAAGTCATATTTTCACCATATTATTAATATATTTATAAATGTCAATGTTCTTATATCCAAACATTTATTTTCCAAAACCAAATATTTGGGTATCAGCTAAATCTAGCTAGGAGCTAAGCATTTGGGTATGAGCTAAACATTTAGCTAGCAACATAAATAGGTAGTAAGTCAAATATTTAGTTTTCTTGCTAAATATTTAGCTTGTAATTACCAAGCTAAATATTTAGCTAGGCACCTAAATATTTAGCTTAGCAAGCCAAACATTTAGCTTCCTTGCTAATTATTTAGCATAGCAACTGCAAACTAAATATTTAGCTAGCAAGCCAAACATTTAGCTTCTTTGCTAAATATTTAGCGTAGTAACTGCAAACTAAATATTCAGCTAGCAAGCCAAATATTTAACTTCCTTGCTGAATATTTAGCTAGCAACATACATATTTAGTTAGCAAACTAAATATTTAGGTCTGGTTTGAAAATTAGATACTACTTTTGGAAAATAAAGATTTAATTTGGAACTAAATAGTTAAAATAAATATTTATTTGGGAACAAAATGCGTAGCTTAGAAACTAAATATTTAATATTCTGTAATAGTTATAAATGTAGAACTAATATGTTGAAAATGTGACTTTGAAAAATGAACACTTGCATTTTTTCTTTACGACAGGCTAAATAAGCCAAAATATTAATTTGTTGCTGTGCAACTTTACACCCAATACTGTTCTACAAACTCAGTGTCACTCAAGTTATTGGATCTCTAGTTTGAACTTTTAACTCCGTGAGCACACAGAACACTACCCAGGTTCTGTTCCTGTATCAGAACATTTCCCGGGTCCAGACGCAAAGCAGATTCTTCCTCTCCATCTCCGTTCCAGTGGATCCTCAAGGAAAATGTTCACCTGGAAAATGTCTTGCACTAAAAACGTTTTAATATGTAATTTTATGTTTTTAATGTAGCGCTGAAACTAACAATCATTTTAGTAAATAGATTATTTACTAGGCAGATTTTTCATTTAACCACTTTAGCCTACTTTTAAATCTGGCTTAATTGCTGTTAATTACTGACCTTTTTTTGAGTCTACAAATTTAGCAATCTTTTAATCATTACTTGGATTATTCAGACGATTACTTAATTGATTTGCCACAATAGCACTAGACAATAATATATATATATATATATATATATATATATATATATATAAACATGAAATCAATGTCAATAGATAATACATTAATACAATAAAATGTTCAATAATTTCATTGAACTCCGAACCAGAACTGCACAGCATTCTGGGAAATATATGGCTTGACCCACTCAAACCATTACACTTTAGCCAATCAAGGTTGGTGGAATCAATGCATCTCTCTCACTCTTTGGTTACCTAGCAACTCACTCATTCTTTGGTTACCTAGCAACGACTTCTGCCGTCGTTCCCACAGCAATTTCAGACTTTAGAAGTTTTTTTCTTGTAAATAAGTTAAATTAATCTCCAAATTTCCAAATGTTTTTGGTGTAAATGTACAATGGAACCAATATTCCATCATTTAAGACAAGTTAAAGAATGTTAATTTTAAATATGTGTTGATATCTACTTAAACTATAAATGACAGTAAAGTTTCTGGAAGTGAAAAAGGCAAAAGATGGCTATGAAAACCACATTTTTTCAATTTTATTTGGTCAATGATTAATACCATGGGAGATAATTTTAAAAATGGAAACCTCATTTCAGTCAATACTTGCCTCAGAAGGAATAAATGTGAATAATGTTTATTAATAATAATAATATAATAATAGTTCTGAATTGTGAGGAAAAGGACAGGACAAATGCACATAACGAGGCACCGATTTCCCCAGCTGGATCTGAACATTCCAACAACAACAACAAAAAAAAAAAAAGTAGAAATTACAAACAAATTTACTTCAGAGGCAGTCCAGCAACGTTTGAATGGCGGTTCTGTTCGTGTTTTTGTTTGGAAGGATTTAAAATAACATTTACAAGACGCCTAGCATTTCTTTGAACTCCTATTAAAAGCACACAGAGAAAGAGAGAAAAAAGAAAGAGAGAAATGAAGGAAGGAACAAAAACTGGACTGCTTCTTCCCAATGGTTCCCCGTTTTTCCGTGATCCATCTTTCCATTGTCCCACCAAATTACCTGCAAACCCATTAATCAAAAACTGAAAGAAAAAAACAAAAAACAAAAAAAAAAAAAACAAGAAGGGATTAATTTTGTTGTTTTTTTTAGTGAACTCTCTGGGCTCAATAAGTGTGCGACATTGTAAAAAGGCGACGCCTTTGGATGAAGCTGTACAGATGCGTTCACTGTAGGCCACACAACCGATGATATGGCAAAGTCAACAGAAAGACTTCTTCCTCTTCCAGGCCTCGTTGTCGTCGATTTTTTTGTTTGTTTTCTTTTTTCTTTTTGGAGCCGGAGCGAAGGGATATGGCCAGCGTACACGATACCAGTCTACAAGATGAACTTCCCGAAGAAAAATCCAATGAAGATGGCTGCTATGACGACGAGGAGGGAGGGCAGGAAGGCGGCGCTGGTTTCTCGGCCGACGATGTTGGTTGAGTTTGATGTCATGTGGTCTGGGCGATGCTGCATCTTTCTCATCCTCACTCCCTCGTCCTGCAAGAAGCAACCAAACCTCAACCATCAATACGTTAGCGGCCGCGATCTGATGCGTCGTAATGCTGCGAAGAGACCGAAGGCGTCCGACGCTTCGAGTTGACATTTGATATTTTGCTGGTGACGCGCGTTGGAAAGAGCCGTTGTTTTCTATTGCCTGTCTCTTTGTACAATGGCGGATGAAATTGTGAGAGAGCGGCACCAAAAGCTTCTGTAATCACAGGCTCCTCAGATGTTTTTGCTTAACATTTTGTGTTCAATGTTTATTGAATAAACAACACTAACAGCTGATAGCGGCTCAAAGTGCATTGGAGCCTCTTGCCTTTTTTCCCCTCCCTCTCCCTGGTTGATCTGAACAACGGAAGATGCATTTGAGAGAGCGGCACCAAAAGCTTCTGCAATCATAACAGAGGCTCCCTAGATGTTTTTGCTTAACATTTTGTGTTCAATGTTTATTGAACAAATAACGGCTTGACGCACGTTGGAGCCTCTTGCCTTTTTTTCCTCTCCCAGTTACTTTCAACAATGGCGGATGAAATATTGAGAGTGCCTTGGTTTTATTTACTGAAATAAACAGGATGTTGCCATCTTTGAATTTACCAGATAACTCAGAGGTGACGAGGGTCACTTCAGCGATGTTTTCGTCTCACCCTATCCATATGACGACCTGCTGACCCGCATCTCCTGACAACTACAGGCCACTACGCCACGTAGGGAGTCTCTTTGATTGGTCAACACGTGTCAAACACTTGAAACGCTTCAGCGCGTCCACATAGACTTTGAATGTAAACCAGACACTCAAATCGCCATCGGTCTGAATGCAGCATTACAGCACCAGCAACCAACTAAACGTCAAAACACGTTAACTATCTTATGCTACAATCTGTTGCAGCATCTAATTACGTTTAAGCTGAACACTGTCCCTTTATTAATAGTTTACTAAGGCTATTACATCCTTAAAGCTGCAGGGCTTATTTGTTAAAACTGACCAGGTTGTGACAGAATAGCATGAGAGAAAATCTGAAAAATTTGACCTTCTCTGCCTTATCCCAGAACTAACTAGAAACAACCAATCAGAGCCAGGAGGCGGGTCTTAGTGCTGTCAATCAACATCATGTACTGGCTGGTGAATGTGCTATTAGAGGAGAAGTCATGATACAGGGCTTAAATCTGATCCAGATTGCCATTAAAAATCTTAAATGTGGGTTGATGAAACCTGCAGAAACTCTGCCATTTAAAACCTGATGATACGATCAGGATTCCCGCTGTTTATTGGAGAAAAACTTTTCCAGATTGAAGCCTCCATCCTCCGCCAGTTTTTAAAGCATACAGACTTCATCCCCAGCAGCCGGTTCTGTAGGTTCTTAGCACAACGGACACACCCAGTGACTAACTGTGGCGTGAACTTCTGTTATTCTGCTTCTCAATCAGCTGTGACTTTACCTATGTCTTGGTATGTGGCTAATCTTCATAAACAGGTTTTCTAAAGTCTTTCCATGTCTGACCTTCAGTTGCCTGTTTTCCTCGCTGAGCTTGTTTATCTCCGACTGCAGCCTCTTGCACTTCTCCACCAGCTTCTTCGAGTCCGTGTCGTCTCCCGCGGCGGCCGCAGCCGTCGGCTCGGACTTCAGGGAGTTCATCACCGGGGCCGGTCGCGTCACTTCCATGTCGTTCTGCCCCACAGAGAGGAGGAAAAGCATGACTGAGAACAAATCCAGCATGGCCAGACTCGACCCGTTAGATCCTACCGATACGCCACAGGAAGGCGGCTTTGTCAGAGTTTCTCTTTTTTGATTTAAAAAAATCATTAAAGCAGCTTGCAAAAATATTCACATCCCTTGAACTTTCTCACATTCTGATATTACAATATTGGTTTAGTTTATTATGATTTATTACGACAGTAATACAAATTTGCTTCGACTTTGATCCAGTTGCCTGCAACTTTTACGATCAGAGTCAAATTAAAACTTGTTTCAAATGTTAAATGACTCAAGAATATAAAAACATTCAAAGACTACTTACATTTTTACATACATCTAATATTTTATCATCAAGTAAAAAATAAAAAGCAAAACCATGAGTATATTCTCTCTGTGTGTGAAAAGCTTCTAGTAAAACACATCCAGTAGTTTTTGTTCCTGTTAAACTTTAAGATATAAAAGTGAATGGGTGTGTACGACATTAGACACACTTTTATGCGTTTCTGTTGGTCAGAATGAAAACAAAAATTCTCAATCAAGAAATCTCTCACCACTTCGTTTTCAGAGGGCAACTCGAAGACGCATCTCAGCTTGGAATCCATAAGATCTTCGGGTTTTGCATCTTTCCACTGACGGATCAGAAACACGTCATTTGTTAATTCAAACTGCATCCAGACGGATTTATTTTTCCCTCCATCCACACACAAAACAAACGTAAATGTAATCTCAAACCTTGAAACTCAACAAAAACTCACAACATGCATATTTTTACTTACTAAACTGATGCAGCGTTGCCCTTACTCTCCTAAATATGTAAACAGTAACAGCTTGTATTTAAAAAGAAATAAAAGCTTGTTTAGTTGTGTTGCTAAGCGTCTGCTGCCCCCTGTTGGACAAATGCAGGACACATCTAAAGCAAACTGATCAAATCTAGATTTTACCCAAGAAACTAATAAAAAAATACATTTTACTTTTAATATTTATTTGTTTTTAAGGCAATCTAGAGAGTTGAACAATATAAGAAAAAATATCTGAATGCGATTCCCCCACATGAACAATTGTTCTTAATTTATTGTTGAATATAAATGTATTGATCGGACTCGTAGATTTAACTTATTTCATGCAATTTGTTGAACATTACTTATGCAATTACATAAACCAGATAAAAAAAACATAAAAACAATCAAACATAACAATAGTACTAATATAAAGAGAAATAATGAGCCAAAATATGGACATTTAAATCATAAGATTTACAAAATAGTTTCTGTTTCAGCCAGAAAAACTATCCCTTTGTTTATTATTTAACAAATAATGTTAATAATAATCAGAATTATATTTGATATTTCAGCACACACTGGAAACAGTTCACTGAAAATGAAAAACTAATAAATACTTACCACGGTGTCGTTGTCAGCAGCATTTGATGGGACGAAAATCGTCTGAACCATAAATTTGTGTTTACTTTTTTCATTGGGGTCATAGTCAAAGGGTTGTAGCATAACTGTGAAGAAAAGAGTAAATAGATAAAATAAATAAAAAATAAAAGAATATTAAATATATTTTGAGTAAGACAAAAACACAGAGCAAATGTTTCAAACAATCGGAGAAGGGTTAGGAGTTAATCTGTTCAGTGCTTCAGTAATTTCCCTGTGTTTGGAGTTTTTCTCCCGTTTCAATGGGGTTGTTCCTTTCCTGCAATCTTTCATGCTTGCTCAGGATGAAATGAAAATAAACACTGAAATAACTAAATTTCAGTGTTCAAGTAAAGATTGCAAAAAATGATTTAACGTCATCAACTGGGCTTCCTTGGATAACTTTTGGGCTTAAATGCTAAATGAAACTGAACTATATTAATTCATTTATACACAGTATGAATGGACAGGAAAACACATTTGTTTTTGAATTTATCAAAAAAAAAAAAAAAAAAGGGATAATTTGTAACCTGTAGTATTCTGGTACTGAACAAGAGTAAACAAGACATTTTTGGAAGGAAAACACAACAAGCTTTTAAAAATCGCTTTTCAATGGCAGAAATGTATTGTATTTTCTTACCAGAGATGTTGACAGTTGCACCTGGGTCGATGACGCCGCTGTTTGGCCGTACGCAGTACCTGCGAGGCGCCGTCGTCTTCACTTTGAAACATACTCGTCTATCCGATGGGTTCTTCAGTTTGAGGTTAGCGGTGACTACATCTGTGAACGGACCTGATGCACACAGAAACACACACACACAGACGGGTTGCTGCTTCTGTATTCAATGCAACACACACCTGACAGAAACAATCTGCTCATGCGTTAAATTGCAAAACGTGTGTAATATTCTACGAAGTCAACTGAAAGCAAATCATTCACTTTATTTCAGATCGTAACTGAAACAACAAAAGGCCTGCAGTGTTTGGTTTCCAAGGTTCAAAAGAGACTTTAAAAAGATTAACAGAAAAGTAGAAAAAGCAACTCAATTAGACAGACGCAATTAAAAGGCCTTATTGAATAGCCGGCTTTTTAACTTGAAGCTAGACTGCAGCGTCTCGCATTAGAGGCGATTAAATAAATAAAAAGAAAGAGAACTAGAAAGTTTGAAACTAGATAAAGAAATAGAAGAAACTGTTTAGTGCTGGTGATATTAAACGAGGCTCAAATCACACAAACACCTGAGTTTTTCACATTTTTTTAAAAGAATAAACACAAACTAATAGATTTATTGGACAATAAATCAATAACACACACACATATATATATATATATATATATATATATATATATACACACACACACACAAATATAGCGCAATATACACATGATCAATATCAGTAGATTCAGCATTCTGGGAAATGTAGGCAGAGGAAACACTTTGGCAGGTCAATTTCTCTCAGCCAATATTGGTGGAATATATACTGCTCAAAAAAATAAAGGGAACATTTCATTTTCATTTTGTGTGTAGCTCCAAATCCAGGCCTCCATTGGTTAATACATTTGATTTCCATTGATGATTTTTGTGTGATTTTGTTGTCAGCACATTCAACTTTGTACAGAACAAAGTATTCAATGAGAATATTTCATTCATTCAGATCTAGGATGTGTTATTTGAGTGTTCCCTTTATTTTTTTTTGAGCAGTGTATATACATCTTCTAATCAAATAGGTTATAGCACAGATTGATAAACAGCGACGACTTCCTGCAGATGAGATCCAACAAACCACCTGAATCAATTACTGTCAGCCCCCTCCCAGACGCATAATTTCATATAGACGTCCCATGATGATATTGGAAACGGGAGTCCTTCGCCCCGTCGGGTCTTTTATCAGTTGATTAGTCGTTACACAACAGATCTCCATCTTGTGACAGCGCTGGCTTCAAATTAGAGCCTTAACCAGGGTCAGCACAAGTTGCTTTCATCATCAATGCCATGTCAAAAACACCAGTGGTCGCCAAGTCAGAGGTACAACAAACTCAATCTGGGCCAATTAGTTTGGGAGGCTGCACAGAGAGCACATCTTATGACAGCATGGTATCTGGGTCAGGGAAAAGCTTTTGATTTTACATCCTGAAATATTTTCAAACCGTCCAAATCTTGTTTGAAATTGAGAAATAGGGGTTTATGCAGAGGGCAAAGGTTTGGATACACAAAGCAGGGATAAAGACTAAATAAAAGGAATCTACAGGCGAATTGTGCAGGATTAGCTTATTCCAAAAATATTCTCAGTGGTTGCAGTCTTTATCTTAATTTATCATTTACTTCTCAGCCCAGTTTTCAGCACCAACAAAGGGAACTGAGCCTTCAGGAACAAGATTAATCTGGGATATTTAAAGTCATGAGCGATCGTCAGTATGTGAGAATCCATACTGTTCTCATCTCACACCTGGTCATATTTTGGCTGCAGAGAACAGGACGTTGCTCTTAAATAACTTTAGTTAAAAGAACCATTGAGTTCTAAAACAGCTTTATTTAACTTTCCAGAAGACTTACATTTGCAGCTTAAGGCAATCTGGAGCTAAGAGCTACAGTAAATAGGCATGTGATGAGAAGAAACTTGAGAAAATGACCCTTGAATCCAATTTCTTTGCCTAAATGTGACCCATAAGATTTTTTATGGCAGTCTGAGCGACCCAATTTCAGCCTTTTCACTCAAAAACAAAATAAATTTTAGCCACTTCTACATGTGGCACTAAATCAGATAGGTATCCGCTTCTTTTCAAAGCGTCTGAATGTCGCATTTTATCAACGTCACTAATGTGAGATGTGCATCATAATTCTGCGCCAGAAAAAGCAAAACGCGGGTAAATCTTTACGTAAACAATGGCTGAAAATTAAAATTACAAACTTATAAAGAAGTCTGTCACTGAAAGGCACCACATCGCAATCCAATAAAATGTTGATTCCATAATCTCAGAAACGATTCATTCTGTCTCACAATCAAATTTTACCACCAACTCACGATTGTTTTAGTAATCGATTATTCTGATTACTAAATGATTGGCACCTTCTGCTGATTTTTCATTAATTTTCTCAAACCTTTATATGCATTAGAAATATAATAAAATGTGCAAATAAAGCAATTCAATTATCTTTTTAAATAAAACATTCTGTTGCCTATAATGCAATAACATAGAATGAACACTGTATTGGCTTATCAATAGTGTAGCGCTGATCTGGTGATTATTTTTTTTTGATTAGCCGATTAATCAGATAGCAAAAGATGCTTAATGTGATTTGTTTTGTTTTCTTACAGAATTGGAACCAATTGAGGAGCTCTGGGCTGAACATATTTACAGATTAACGTTTTATCTTTGTTTGTTCTTTCAACAAATTGCCTTTTTTGAGTCTCTATACTCCAGTTAGCAATTCACTGATCACTAAATTAGTTGTTTATTTTCATTAGTTAGGCTTTTTTGTCACAAAATTAATAATTTCAGCTCTAGTACCAAGATTAATGTCAATTTTGAATTAAAATAACTCGCCATGTTAAAAGATTTCATTCATTTAATCCACATTAAGTGGAGAACTATAAATAAAACCTTAAAAATATCAAAGTAATGCTATTTAAAGAAACAAAAGATGACAAAGCCATAACCAAACACTTTTTGTTGTTAAGCAAACTCCACTGTTACACACAAAAGGAGTGAATGAAGCCAAGAGAGATAAGCAGCGTTGCATGACTGCCTGACTCCACCTAGCTAAACGCAGTTACACTCATGACTGGGGAATTGTTTCAAAGACAGGTGCAGCATAAAAAACATTCCTTTAAACTTGAAAAACCTAACAAAGCTCGTCCGTCTAGAGCTTTGTTACGTGCAGCTGCAGTGAAGGAAGTCTTAATAAATAAGATTTCCTTAAAGTCAATCTAAGGAAGACTTCCTTAAAGTCAATCCATCTCTTCTTGTTGTGCGAAGTCATAAATTCAGAGCGATTGTTGGTGAACCCTCCTTGTTTCAATAGATGAAACATTTTAATGGAAAACTACTGATATTATTAATCTCTTTCAGCTGACGAGTAACTGAACTTTAACTTTTGGAACGAGGAGAGTCGTTAATTTTATTACGATCATCTGGGAAAGGGCAAGATATTGGTCCAAATTAAGAAAAACAAACAAAAACAAAGAATGTGTTTCATGACCGAAGAACGACAGAGATAATCATCTTCAAGGAAGACATAAAAATAAAAATAAAATCCAGACTTGAAGAGCGTTTCCCACTCCAGGAAACTTTTCCAGGAACCAGGACGGGTTTTCTGCATATCTTTTAAAACCTCTTTTCCAAGGCTTTTGCCAGTGTAAAACCAGATTAACCAGGTGAAAACAGATTATCCAGGTGAAAAAGTTACTGGGAACTTTGTGAAAGACATTTCTGATTATTCAGATATTTCCAGTATTATATATATTAAACTGCCATATTGTTGGGATTATTTTTACCATTTTTCTCAGTTGTAAATGTGCATCAAATAATCATTCAATTAAAAATTTGATGTGTGCATCTCTATAATTTTTGTTTAAAATATTTGATTCCATGACAATATTTAAATTTCCCACACTCTTTGAAAGCAACGTGATGTCAATAATGTGCAGGCGGTTCTGAAATTCTGCTAAGCTAGCGCTACAAGTCTGAACTAGCCATCTGTGTGGAAGTAGAGACTTTAGGTGACAGATGGGAGCTGAATCGTATAGGATTTAAATCCGTTTCCATGGTAACGGCTTTCCTCAACAGGTGTCTGTATCTCTACAAGTTAAGTCATCAACTAAACACTTGTTCTTTCCAGCAGCGTTTATACACCATGGTAAAACCAGCTGACCAAACGTGCTGGAGCGCTGCTTGGGTTGCTAGGTGACGGGCGGAACTCAGCTGGGGTTGCTAGGTAACGCCACATAGCCTGTTGATTCTAACTTATCAGGTGGTTTTTGAAACGGCTCACTTTCCAGACACCGAAAAAAAAAACTCAAAAAACATTAGCTTATTGCCAGAAAACTGTTGGATGTTTTTGTTTTTAGGCGCTTGGGGTGTTTTTAGAAGAAATGTACAACCCAAACGGAAGTATAAAAACATACAAAAAGTGAATTTTGGATAATATATTCCTCTTTAAAATCAGTGACTAAACCATTGGATGCAAGTTTGTACAACAATCCATTAAGTAGAATTAAGTCTAAAAGAACAGTTTCTGCGTTTTATACACTGTAAGCATAAAATAAACCAGCTCAGAAAGATGCCACCTCTTCCTCAAAACTCTGCCAGCTCCATCTTTTCCCATCTCTCCGCAAGCTTGCTGGGCTTAGGGTCCCCCAGGCCCGTCCTACTCTAAAAATACCAGCCAAGGAGAGGAGGGCTGCCCTGGTTGCTTTGCTGGAGGAATCCCAAGAGAGCCTCCAAAAACAGTCCAGGTCTCACATACACAGACCAATTTAGCTCGGTCTCTGCAACAGCAGAAGAAGACGACATGGATAGTTTATAACGCTGCTCCTCAACGTCCGAGAGGAATCATTTCATTTTCATCCGTGATACCCAAATAAAATAATAAAAAAAGGAACTCTAAATGATGTAATTGTTTCGTTTTCAATTTACCGTTTGAATTAGATTATGGCAGCTAAATAATTTAATTAGAGTGGGTTCCAGTGACGTGCGGTGAGGTTCATTGCTGGTGAGGCACTGACTTATGACTTAGACA